CTAATTAAACCAGATAAATTAATTCAGATCTGCCTAACTAGACAAAATTTCTCAGAATTGTACTAGTTGAATAATTAATTGATTAGTTATTTAAAATTTTTCAAATCAACTAGTTGAAAAGTTGGCAACTAGTTGATTTTTTAATTAATGATTTGAAATACTAATTAAGATAAATCTAATAGTAGTTAAATTATTAAAATTAGCTTGGTAGATCACAAGATATCTTTAAAAAATATTTCATCAACTATGTAAATTTCTCTCTCAACAATATTATTATTAAAAAAGAAGCTATATAGTCAGCAAACCATTTTTCATAATTTATTAGGCTAATTTTAATGATTTAATTATCATTAGATTCATCTTAATAAGCTTTATAACTTTAATTAGAAGCTCAAAGGTAGTTAATTTAGTATAAAAAAAGTTATAGAATTATATAGCTCATAACACAAAATTCTAATTTCTATATATAAACTGTGTCATATTATATTATAATCTCTATCTGGTTGACTAACAAATCATCAATTAATATATATCTATTGCAACTATGTTGCTAGTATTACATATTAATTTATATTATATAAAATAAACTACAAAAGCTTAGACAGTTATCTATAGCCTATATTTACCAATATTTTTTATATTTCATATCATCTGAAATTTTATTTTTTAACTAGCTATTTTTAGTAGTTATAACTTTTAATTTAGTCTTATCAGATTATTTTGTTTTTATGAGTTCTTAATTTGGTATAACTATAAACACTAATGATATATTAAAAGTACAAATAGTTTTATATAATTTGTATTTTAAACCAAAAACTTGTTGCCTAGTTAAATTCACTATATAAGAAAATTAATATTTTATTATTAGCAAGCCTTTTATTTATTTTTTAAATACTACTAATTTGTATTTTAGCCAAGTTTTTGTTGCTATTCAGGTTCGTATTATTCAGGTTTTAACATTCTTTTTCTAAATATAGTACTATTCACTAATCTGTTTGTATTCCCTATATGGTGTATTATCAAAATTATATTTTATAGATTATTTTAAAATATAGGCCTTGCATTATATTACTAAAAGAAAAAACTCAATTCATCTTTGATTTTTAGCTTAGACATAGTCTATTAGCTAGTATTGTATTTGTATTAGTATATTCTGACTTTTTTCATTATAGACTTCCATATAGATAATACTGAAACTTTCTAATTTAATAAATATTAAATTTAGCTAGTTTATCTCTAAATAAATTTCTTCTTTAGCTAGCTATTTGGAGCCATTACAGTAGAAAGGGCCAAAACTCAGAAATATATAATTTTGAGAAAATCGTATTTATTTTGTTTGGACTGATTTGGGTTAATCAAAAATTCTGTAATTTGATTGGTTAGTTATATCAGATTGTTTCATGATATACAAATTTTCTAAAAAAAATTTATAAATATTTCAATTTTTTATTAAGCAAATCTATTACTATATACTAAAAAAATTTGTGTATAATGATGATAGTTGCATAGTATAACAGTATGTACAATTCTATTCGCTACTCTGCTGTCGTAACTTTTCTTCCTTACCTCTTCTAGACTCATGTATTAATCATCGCGTTAAGATCTTCATTGTCATTGTTTTGACGATCAATTTACAAACTTTTCTAACAACTTGTCAATAACTTTTTAAACTTTTGCTTTCGTTATATCCACAGTTTATTTTTTGCCAGATATGAAGGTTTGATTTATTTTAAACCCTTCCCCTTATTTTTTTTATACTATCTTTTCTTAACTTATAAACCTTCTAAGTTATTTAGTGCTAATACAATATCTCTATTTATTTCCTACACACTAATACCATAACTATATAATATCATACCACCCCATATTTATTTAACAATTGTAGAAACTGTCGCTACCACAACCTTATTAAAACCGAACCTCCTACCTTTATTATGCATGTAACTCTTACCATTTTACTATTACTCAAAAAACAACCTGCCTCAACTAAATCTTTATTCTTATTTAAGCTAAGTATATTTCTCTCTATGAATTCCAAAATCTTTGTTACAGTATAACTTCAATATAGATGCTCTTAATATAACAAGAAAAATTTACTTTTTATATATAGGCACTGTTACTTTAGTCATGTTTAATTTTACTTAACAATTTGGTAAGTTTATCAAGCTTATTAAACCCAACCTCCTAACTTTATTAATCGTGTAAATCTTATCAATTTTCCTATTACCAAAAAAACCTATCTTAGTTCTTATTGAAGCTAAGTCTTACTTATTGTGAATTACAAAATCTATATTATAGTTTAACTTTGATATAGTTTTACTTAATCTAACAAAAAATTTTAATTTCTATATAGGTGCTTTCACGTTTATTAAAACCCGACCTCCTAACTTCATTACTCATGTAAATCTTATCAGTTTTACTATTAAACAGAAAACCTGCCTTGCTTAGTCCTTGGTTCTTATTGAAGCTAAGTCTATTACTCTTTGTAAATTATAAAATCTATATTACAGTTTAGCTTTGATATAGTTTTACTTAATTTAACAAAAAATTTTAATTTCTATATATATATATAGGTGCTTTTACTTTAATCGCATTTAATTTTTCTACCAATTCGCTAATTATATCACGTTTATTAAAACCCGACCTCCTAACTTTATTATTTGTGTAAATCTTACCAGTTTTACTATTAAACAAAAAACCTGCTTTGCTTGGATTTTGGTTCTTATTGAAGCTAAGTTTATTACTCTTTGTGAATTACAAAATCCATATCACAGTTTAGCTTTGATATAATTCTACTTAATTTAAAAAAAATTTTAATTTCTATATAGATACTGTTACTTTAGTCACCTTAAATTTTGGTTACTAATTCATTAACTATATCAAGGTTAGACCCTATTATTAAAATTTATAATTCATTTCTTTGTTATTAGTATAAACCTCTAAATAGCTAACTTTATATTTTAAAATTAGATGTTGAACAATTCTTAATAATCATTACTGGTAATTCGAATTTATTATACATAAATTAGTATTATCAAGCTTTTTTTCTTTTCGCATCTTATGGTTATTTTTTTATAACTCTTATGGCTTTTCACTACTTTTTTTACGCTTATCATTTGTTTAACATATGTATTATCATTTTATATAGACTTCTTTTCATATAAGTAACATAAAGCTTATCACCATATTTCAGTAAACTTTGAATATTTGCAGAATGACAAATAGTTATTATTTCTTCAAATTATATATAGTTATTAAATACGAAATAGTTAATAATATAAAATTGAACTTGAACTTTTCATTATAACTAATAAAATTTATTTGAATAAATTTACTGATTTAAATAAAATTTGCTTATTATTATTATTTGCCAGATGATTATTGATTTGAATATTCGCTTAGCACAAAATTATTCAATACCGAATATGAAACTCTAAAAGTGACTTCTCTAATAACATTCTACTTAGTTGATTTTAAAGTATTATTATCTGTGTTAAAAAAAAATCTGTTTTAAATAAGCTATTCAACTTTTTTTTTTAATAACTTAAGTCATACAAATTTAATATCTTGGTTCTTATATACATGGATACCGAAATTGTCTATCTTAATAAAAAAGTAATTATGGCATTTAGGCAGCCGAAATTAGTCTTATGTAGTGCTAAAATTATTTTTCATATTTGCTGAAATTATTAACAAAATTTTCTGAACTCTTTTCATCAAAATACATCATATAATATAGTTATTTCAAAGGGTTTCATATAAAAAATTTAGTAATACTGAAATGTTTGCCGAAAATACGATTTTTCAAAAATAATTTCAGCACCAGTGTTTAAAATTTAAAATAAAAATCACTTGCACAAAACATATGTTTGGTAAATTTTGTGCAGCTTTTTTGGAAACTTTTTACTTGCACACTTAGTAAATTTTTTAAAATTCAAAAAAAAATTTGCATATATGCATCTTGTGCAAGCCAATTTTAAACACTGTTCGGCACTTGTGTATAGGTTCTCATACCTTGAAATTTTTAAACAAACTCAACCCACCAATTTTTTTTAAAAAAATTTCATATGCAAAAATTTTATAAAACCTACTCTTATACATTAGTTTTGTTCATTTCTAGCTATTAGATATCTGATATAGCAAAAACTTCTAAAACAACATCACTTTTTTAGAAATTATTTCTATATTAGCAGCAAATCGAGTACATATTACAACTATATACAAATTTAAATCTGATACAAATTGTATTTCCAAACGAAGCATAATTCATTTCACAAAACTTCACTTTTTTTTTAGAAATAATCCTAAATATCATCCAAAACAAGAATCTTATTTTACTTATTTAGTATTCTTTTGAAATTATAAGCCCTCTACTATATAAATTAAACTATATTCAAAGCCAAATAGATCATCGCGAAAAGCATAATTACATACCTTCGTAAAATACTGAGATAATATTACATAATAATCAATTATTTTTATTTTAATTTTTTGAAGCTACAAACCTCTACTATTTAAGTCAACCTATATTTAAATCAAACAGACCATCGCAAAAAGCTGATTACATACTTTCGTAATCTATCGTAATTTAGCATTATATGATAATCAACGTGAATAAATTAAATTCTAAACATCCAAACCACATCAATAATAAATATTCGAAGCAAACTGAAGACTTGTGAGAAATAGATCAGATCACAATCCTTATCAAAAAATCATAGCATCTCAAGTTATTTCATCATATGATAATTGAAATAAAGCTTTGCATCAAAAACTCTATTTAACCCAACTTTTTTATTCTTAACTAAAGCTTAACTTAGTCGATAAATCAATTAAAAATTCGCCCTATTTTTCAATTATAAATCATTAACATTCTATTTCTTTTTAAAATTTTAGTTATTTCAATTTTTTATCATATACAAACTTTCACTATTTATACCATCATTACACATTTCTGTTTATTAAACTTAATTGTTAGACACTATCTACATTTTTTGCCAATGTCGTCGCTATCTGAAACTTCCAAAACTACTAAAGAACAACAAAGAGAACTTGCCCTCAAAAGACATTGTGAAAGTCAGAAGCGTTATAGAAATAAGAGAAAATTGGATACCTCAGTATCATCCAATGTTGACCCTGAAGAATTGCAGCAATTGCTTGCCTCAGAAGTACCAACTATCTTAATTGAGCCTATAATTATTACTACTAATATTGAACTAGCTAATAACCAAACTACTCCAAGCTGACAATGCAAAAAGGCAGTACATTACGATATTGGAAGAATGGATCAAATCTGCACCCGTTGTGGTGCTAAATTTTGGATAGCTAAGAAAGATATAAACAGTAGTCATGCATCTCTAAGATTTGCTCTTTGCTGTGTCCATGATAAAATACAATTGCCACCCTTATTTGAACCACCATCATATTTATTAAAACTATATACGTCGAATGACTCTTTAGCAAGAGAATTTCGCAATAACATTAGAGGTTATAACAGCGCTTTAGCTTGCACATCTTTCAAAGCTACTATAGATCATCAATTTATAGGATGAGATATATCAAATTTTCGGATTCATGGCGAAGTTTATCATCTTATCAGATCTTTACTACCACTGGAAGAAAACTAAATACCAACGTTTACTCAACTATATATCTATAATACTGCACATGAAATTGAAAACCGTCTTAACGTTATGCGTCACCTGAATGAAAATATTCTAAATAATCTTCAGAATATACTAGATGAATGTAATTCTTACATCCAAAATTTTTATCAGGTGAGAGACCTTATATAAGAAAACATGACCCCCGAAATTTCTATAATAATTCACAGTGATAGAACTTGAGACGTCTGTCATTATAACTCTCTAACAGCCTCTGAAGTAGCTGCGATTATAGTAGCCGATGGTTATGAAATAAATCTAACAAACAGAGACATTCTTCTTACATTATGCAATGGAAATTTGCAAAGAATATCCAAAGTTTATTCGTCATATGATCTGCTCTACTATGTCTTATTATTTCCAAGAGGTGATGATAGTTGGCACATAAATATACCGCTTAGAGAAACCACAAAATGAGAAAGAGTAACAACAATGCAATTTTACTCTTATAGGTTACAAATCAGAGATGGAGATTGGATACAATATGCAGGCCGATTATATCAGCAATATATCATTGATCAATATGCTAAAATAGAACAGAATCATTTGATTTACCTTAAACAGAACCAAGAGTCATTATGAACTGAATTCCAAAATGGTATCATGAATGCGTTACATGCTGGAAATAGTAGTAGTGATATTGGCTGTTATATAATTCTTCCATTATCATTTACCGGTAGACCGCGTCAGATGTACCAGTTATATCAAGACACAATGGCTATAATAGCTCACTTTGGCAAACCAGATCTTTTTATAACATTCACATGTAATCCTAAGTGGCCTGAAGTTACTCAAGAATTATTATCTCACCAAAATACCGCCAATAGACCTGATTTAACAGCCTGCATATTTCACATAAAACTACAAGAACTATTAAAAGATTTATGTCATAATCACTGGCTTGATAAAGTTATTGCCTATGTATATGTTGTAGAATTTCAAAAGTATGGTCTTCTGCATGCACATATCCTACTAATACTTGCTCCTGAGAACAAATTGCGCATAACAGATGATTATGACTCTATGAAATTCCAGACATTACATTATACCCACTTGCATATGAGACAGTATCAACTATGATAATACATGGTTTATGTGGCGAACTAAATCCTGAATCACCATGTATGAAAGATCATGTATGTAAAAAACATTATCCTAAGAACTTTCAAGAATGCACTACTGAGAACAATAGTAGATACCCTATTTACCGCAGATGAATACTGGCAAATTCATTTAAAAAAATGGGATCCAATTAGATAACTGATGGGTCATCCCATATAATATCAAATTGATTATAAAATACAATGCCCATATTAATATCGAAATTTGCAGTTCAATCACTGTTGTTAAATATCTATATAAATACATTTACAAGGGCTATGATCGAGCAACCATTACACTTTCTCATACTAATCAACCACATAGTTAACAATCGTCATCCGAAGCTCAACAACATAATGAAATCAAATTTTACTTAGATACTAGATATGTTTCAGCTTCTGAAAGTATCTGGAGAATCTTTTATTACAAACTACATAATCATAATCCAAAAGTACAAAGGCTAGCAGTTCATCTTCCAGAACATCAAAGCACTACTTATCGAGATAGAGAAAATATTCATCATATCGCTAACTATGCTAATACATATATGACAACCTTAATGGCTTGGTTTCACAAAAATAGAGAGAATCCTGCAGCTTGAACATTTACTTATATAGACTTTCCTGCTTATTATACTTGAAATACGTCTCAACATAAATAGACACTCAGAAAAATATCAACATCTATGATTAGAAGGCTTTATATGATACAACCTTTAGAAGGAGAAAGATATTACCTCAGAACTTTACTTACCCAAATAAAAGGCGCTATCGGCTTCGATGATCTAAAAACTG